GTCTAGCTTGGAGGATGAGATAGTGGTAAGAAAACTACTAAATTCAGTTCCTAAGAAGTTTTTGCAGATTGTTGCATCGATTGAGCAATACTCCAAGATAGAGGACATGTCACTTGAGGAAGTTGTGGGAAGGTTGAAGGCATATGAAGAGAGAATCAAGGTTCTTGATGAAGATGATAATGATCAAAATCAAAACAAACTTTTATTGTCAAAAGAAGAATGGGAAGAGAGAACCAAGCGTGGTAACTTCAATCAAGATCAATCTGGACAAGGAAGAGGTCGGGGTCAAGGAAGAGGTCGTGGTAGAGGTCGAGATGGTCGGTTCCATGAAGATCGAAGGGAGCAAGGTATGTATCGAGACAAGAGACATATTAAATGCTATAATTGTCAAGAATATGGACATTATGCAGCTGAGTGTCCTAAGAAAGAAATAAAAGAAGAAGAAGCTAATATGATTCAAGATGATGATGAGCCAGCACTGCTTTGAGGAATAAGATTACTGTCAAGATTAAGGGGGTGAGTGTTGGATAATCTTGACATGGATAGGCTAATTTTAATAATGAGTTTGGGTCAAAAAAAGATTAGTCTTTTATTTGTTTTATTTAGTATTTGAATAAAGGAAATTTGACCTGGTTCAAGGCAAGAAAACGTGGTATACTTGGTCTTATAGTGTCCTATTCTAGTGGCTAGGTTTTAGTTTGGTTTTCTATGTTTCCGTTGTGTATTTGTAGGCTATTTATAGCCTCTCTTTACTTTTGGATTGACGTGTGCAGCCTTTTGAATAGAAATCAGTTTCCTGTTTCCTCTTCTTCTTAATTTCGTGTGCAGCAACAACAAAGAATACTTCCTTGTTTTCTTTTATTTGTTCAGGGGCTTTAGGGGCTGCTCCAACAAATTAATGGGATAGTATTGGGTTGGAAACCCTAATTAGGGTTTGGAAAACCCTAATTAGGGTTTGGAAAACCCTAATGTCATGAAACCCTAATTTTGGGGATTGATCGGGACCCGTACTAAAATTAATTAATAAAATTAAAATATTAATTAACAACCATTGGCAAATTAACCTAAGGCAATATTAGACTTAATGGATTAAGCCCTTAATGGGTTAAGTATGAACGCTTAATGCTAATCGTCATTTCATGTGAAAACCCTAATTTCACTTGGGCCTTGAGTTGGGCCTTCCTATTGGGTTTTGGTGATTGGGCTATTGATAGGCCATCCAAGAATAGTCATATCGACTAAGAATATAGGGATGGAAGACCATGTGAGGGTTTAGGCCTAATTTGGAAAATTTGGCCATAGGTGGGCCATAACTAGACCTTGAGGATTATGAGAGGTTGGACCATTGGAATGCCAAATGTTTGGAGTGGTCTAAATGGTTGGGCCTTAAGATAAGCCCATATAGAGGTTTGGGCCTAATTTGGAAAATTAGGCCATATGTTGGTCTTTGGTCCATGGTTTGACTTTTTGGGCTTTTGGATTGGGCCTTGGACTGAATAAAGCTAAGTTAGGGGTAAAGTAGTCTTTTACCCCAAGTATGGAGTTGTGGCTATGCATTGGAACCCAATTACTGATTGGGTGTTATTTTGATGATTAATAGTTCGGGAATCTATCATTCAGCAGCTAGAGTTTTGTTTGCAGGACTTCAGCAGTGCGAGGTGAGTCTCCTCACCATACCAATGGGTCAAAGGCATCAAGGCCATCCCGTTATGTATTATGTGATATGCTAGCTTATTTTGTGGTATGTGATATGCTAATTGATTGTATGGAATGTGATATGCTAGTTATCTTTGTGATACTTGTATGGAAGACCTCAGGAGGTTCCCGGGTCACCTAGGTGTAAGACCCTGGAGGGTTTCCACGGCATTTTAGGTAAAGACTTCGGGGGTTCCTGAGGCACTAGGGTTTAAGACCTTAGAGGGTTTCCAATGTGTCCTTAGTTAAGACCATGTAGGGGTTCCCATGACATTGGGCTAAGACCATGTGGGGGTTCCCATGGCACCCAATGTAAGACACTGGAGGGTTTTCAAGGCATCCTTATATGTTTGCATGTTAACTTATATGTTTGTATGTATGGTTTGATTGATACTTAGTTAAGACCATGTAGGGGTTCCCATGGCATTGTGCTAAGACCCTGGAGGGTTTCCAGGTCATCCATGTATGTTATATGCATGCCTTGGGTAGTTGATATGCTTTATGTGATTATGTGTATAAGACCTTAGAGGGTTTCCATGACATCTTTATATGTGTGCATGCATGGTTATGCGATTGATATGGTTTATGTGATTATGTGGGGTATGCTCTGGGGAACTCACTAAGTTTCGTACTTACAATTTTGTTTATGGTTTTAGGTATCATTGTTTTGGAAAGGAATGGCTAAGCTTGATCGCAGCACACACATATATGTTTTCCGCATTATGTGATTTTGGGATGAACTCTGATATATATTTTGAATTAGCAATTCTTTTGGAACGTTTGGATTTAAAGATATATGTGTTTTGACTATATTGAAAAATGAAATTTTTACCCTTGATTTTTGGGTCATTACAAGAAATAAGAGAAATTGAGTCTGCGTAAGGGTTCAATTATCTTAAATGTTTGCCAATTATAACTATATGTGGAAGCTACATCAACTTTTTGGCTAATCAGCAAGTGAAAAACATGAAACACTTTAAGCAAATCGATCAATTGATTAAATTTGCAACAAAATTGTAAACTTAGTGATTTACTTGAGAAAAAAAAAACAAATGGCTTATAGCCTAGCAGTATCAGGATTTAATGAAAATATGTCCATCAACCAAAGGGTAAGGGTTCAAGTCTCAAAGGAGACAAAAGATGTAGATTTATGAGTAAGATAGTGGGTACGTGTGTTAGATGTTCTAAATAATTGAGAAAAAAAAAACAAAACAAAAACAAACAAACAGTTTCAAAATCAAAATTTTATGTATTTAGTGTATTTTATGCAATTTTACCTTCCAATAGTTATAAGATTCTTATACCATATTTTTTAAAAGATTCTTATTCAGCCACTTGGATTGTGGTGACTTGATAAAATATGTAAAAGATGTGGTGGTTAATTTATTGACTCGTGTTCAAATTTTGCACTCATCACCCCATGTGGCTAGGAATTAGGGTTGATATTGAGGAGTTAAATATCCTTAAATACCCAGAGCGGAATAATTGATACACCTAGAAACCCTTTATAGGGAAGTTCCCCTTCCAACAAAAATATTCTTATTCCTTTTTCTTAAAATTCCATTGTATGATGCAGAAAAAGATTGAAAACAATCATACGTTTGGTATTATATGTAATACATAAAAGATTCTAAATTCATATTCCATCATGTAGATTTGACCTTAAGATTGGGATAAAAAGAAACAGAACAAAAGTTTTATCGTTTTCTACCTATTTATCCACAAATTGGTATACAGACAATATGAAACGAATGTCAAATATGCAAAATAATAAGATTCCGTTGTCACTCAAAAGGAGCACCGAGGAAAATTAAAGAAAGAATGTCAAATATGCCACAATATTTTGATTTGCATAAAACGTTTAGACGTTAGAGATCCAAAAAAAAAATCTACAAAGCAAACTAATTTATGATATTGTAAAATTCTTTCGAGAAATGATTATTATCTAATTTATGATTTTGTAGGAAAAGTTGTAAACTGCTTTTATTAACTATAATCTTTAAAAAAAAAAAAAAAAAAAAAAAAAAAAAAAAAAAAAGGACCCTATATGTTAGCCTTTTGTCCTCCATTACTTTGATTAGGTATGGTTTCTTAAATGCTAAGCATGTCAAATATTGTTTGATTCTTAGTGTTATAGATCAAAAGTATATTGACTTGTCATCTATCTCAAGAGTCACGAACGTTCTTGGTAGTGGAACGTTTTCAAGCTTCCATTCTTTTCATCAATTTGGTTGCTTTTTCTTTCTGTTATTTAAAAGTTAATGATTTGTGGTCCATGGAAAGATTATGGAAAAATGACATGACAAAGAACAAATTAGTCGTTTTGTACATTTTACTAAAAGATAAAACAATTTAAATATGCATCAAGTAATCCAACACAAAACACATGCGCTCAACAATATATGGGTAATTGGATTCATCATTCTAAAAACTTTGTCATAACTCTAATGATGGTTCTGTGATTGTGTTGAATATACTCTATTAATTTGAATCAAAGGCAACCTTATAAATTTTTATATCTTGTCTTACTGTGTTCTAATATACAAATATTTAGTCTAGTTTTGTTATGTTTAGATCATGTCCTATTTCTCAAACGCTATATATGTATAATATATATTTTTTTTATATAAAACCATTTTATTTTGTTGGTTGCGTAAATGACAAAGAGTTACTGGATAGATATACACCTAATCCTTTTATTCATCTCTACTACGTACCAAATGACGATACGACTCTTCGTACAAACTTTATTGTTGATAATGAAAAACATATATATCTCTAATAATGGAATATAATATGGTATCCGTGCTTATTTGTGGGCTGGTGATTTGTAGGTAGATATGCTTTTAGCACAAATCTTATCTTTTTGGACTACTAAGATTTATAAATTGGCACTAAATGCCAGATGCCAAAGATATGTAAGACCCCACCATATTGGATTATTTTGTTTCTTCCATTTTTCGGCAATAAATCCATATTGTGTTGGCTTATAAAAGGGGTTCTTGTCCAATAAGGTTTATCAACATCCCTAACACCAATAAGATTAGAAAGAAGAAATGTAAATGAATTTTTTTCCAAGGCATTGATTGCTTGCTCTCCCTCAAGGGCTTCTAGCATTGACCCTACATATATGTAATGCCTCTTATTCTTATAATATAAGACTAAGAGCATGTGTTTGGAGGTCTTGCTAGAGGCTTGCGAGTGAGATCAGATACTCAATGTCTTGTTGTTACAAGTCAAAAAAGATATGGTGACATGAAGAAATCTATGCCACACAATGTCAGCTTTTTCATTAGCAACAACTTATGAATTGGCTTTTTGACCTTTTGTGTAAATGTAAGTTGAAGGTAAAATGCTTAAGCCTTAAGGTATGTTTCTTTTTCAAATGACGAATATGGATATTATTAAGCAATGATATATATAGGATATGGTAATTAATCAAGCCTAAGATTCTACCTGCCTACAATTGAAACCATTTTCAAATAGATAAATTATTGATCTACTCTAAACGTGAAGGTTGTTTCTTTCTCTCCGTTAACTCTTATATAGATGAAGTAATGTATGTTTGGATAAAATTTTGCAGATATAATTTTATTTTTTATTTTTTCGATTGTATGATAGAAACTGAATAATCATTTAACTTAGTCATTTTAACAAACAGTTTTTACGATAATTATCAATTTTTATGTAAAAGAAATTTGTAGAAAACAGAAAGGACAAATAGATAACGGTTAGTCGGGTTTCCAGGCTTAAAACAATAAGTTATTATGATTGTACTAAGCAAAAAATAATAATAACCATAATAGCGTTAATATTTTTACATCATAATGATGATTTATTTATGTATAGATGAGTTTAAAAATCATTTGTTTTATATAATATAAAATTAAAGAATTTTGGAGCAAAAGAAACGAGAATAATCCCAAACACGTGGATGATGATCCGTACTATCCGGACCCGTTTTGACAATGAAGGTCAAACTTCTTGTGATGAACAACAACTTCCTTTTTTTAACAAACTCAATGTAGAAATCCAACAACAACTACAAAATCATGGACGACAAAATCGCCGCCTTCACCATCTTCACGCTCTTCTTCTTTACCGTCTCCGCCGCACGTTTCCCGGTAGCTCCACCGGCAACCAATCATTCAGCCGTTGAACATGCATCCAAGTTGGCAAACACTTCATGCGAATCTCTAGCTTCCGCCGATTCAAACATTCGTCTCCCCGGAGAAAAGGCTAAATCGGATTCCGACGAATCCACCGCCAAGAACCCCCTGCCTGAACCGGAAAAAACCACGACTGATTTAACGCAGGGTACGAATTTCTCCAGATTCCATCCTATCAACCGACACTTCCTCGGTAAACCTCCTATGGGGCCAAAACAGATCGATAAACACCGTCGACCTTACCGGAAGTCCGTGACGCAAAACAGGATCCCTCGGAACGACGAGATCACTTCACGTAAATCCGATAATTCGATTCCGGAAAGTTTTCCCGGCGAGGTTCCGTTGAACATGTTGAAGATGAAGCACCATTACGGCTCCCGTCGCCACCATAACCAACCTCGCAATAACAACGACAACGTAATTAAGACGAAGATAGTGTTTGATCGGGAGAAGCTGAAGAGTTTAATGCGCCAACACAGGCAGAAGAAGGTAGATGATGAAACTGGATTTATGAAGAACATTCGCAAGTTTCTGAAACACACTTTTGATTGATAAATATAAAATATTCCTCGATTGATCTACCATCCACCCGTCAATGTATATTATCTATTATGTATATAAGCTCGTTTTGAATTGTTTACCTTATTATACTTTTTTTTTTTGTAATTTGTACATAACTAATTGCATCCATGGGAGATGCACAAAGCTTATATTAGCTTAATTAATCAACCTCTTCCAAACCTTCAAAGAGCTAACTTTGGTCAGACGAGTTTCTGCTTTTTGCATAGTAAGCTGTTGGATAGTGTGCTTGAGTTATACATCCAATTCACATATGCCTTCATTTGAGTTATACTCCTGACGAACTGCTAATGATTTCTCTTCTAAGAAAACATTAAACCTTCAAATCTTCATGATTGTATCTTTTTTCTAATATCTTGTTGAATGTTGAGTGGTTATCTTCAAGATTAGTGATTGTAAATTTTTGAGAGAGTGAGTTTGTTCTCATTTTGGACCATGCATGTCAATTGTCTTTGCATCATTGTTATGTTTTTAGGAAGAAAATGAGTCCGCTAGTAATCTAGTATACATACAAACAGGAAATAAAAACTTCAGCCTTATAACTTGCCAATTGTTATAAAATTAAAGGAATCATATATAATATATTACAACACTACATGGATCCAGTTGAAATCTTCACATTCAGAAAGGTACAGAACACTCACCTGTCTGACGACTGCTAACGAGCTCCGAACACGGTGATGGGCTAACTTGCACCGCACCACCACTAACATCGGCACACTTCCAAGGAACATTTCTGGCCCCACTTGACCCAAACAGATTAATATTAGACAGACAAATATCTGTAAAAGGTGAGTTCTTTAAACCCTGGATTAACCCCGGCTGCTGGACATTTTCACCCCAAACATTCTTAATCCGGACATGTTTCATAACCGGTAACGCATTCGGGTTATAGTTTTCGTCAGGATGATCGCCGACATCACCGGCAATCTTGATTCCTTTCCGGACTTTATCCATGAAAACATTGGAAACGGTTATGTTTCTTATGATTCCGCCACGACCGATGTTTGTCTTTAGATGGATGCCGATTCCGGTGTTGTAAAGGGTTATGTGTTCTGCGAACACGTTAGTTACTCCGCCGGAAGTTTCGCTTCCGACTGCGATTCCGGCGAACGGAGATGAACCGGTGAGTCGCCGGATTGTTATGTCGTTACTTGGACGGCCATATGCAATTCCGTATTCGTCCCACCCGCTTTTTACTGCCACCAGGTCATCTCCTGTTGAAATGTAGGAGTCTTCTATGCATACATGGGAGCTTGAATCTGCACCAATTTGAGAAAAAAATAATGAGTAATTTACATTTTTGGTCCCTGAATGTAACTGATTTTTGCAAATTTGGTCTCAAAAAATTTTCCCTTGCAATTTAGCTTCTTATTTGAGGTTCGTGCATCATTTTTGGTCCCTGTTCGAATTGAAATTTTTTTGTCCCAGAGTATAGCTGATTTTAGCAATTTTATTACCAACAATAAAATCATTTTACCTAGAGCAAGGACCAAAAACATTACAAAAACCTCAATTAGGATTAATATTGAAAATCTCAGTAAACTCGGAGACCAAAAATGTAATTTACTCAATATGAAAAGAAAAATATACTTTTGGTTCTTTAGTATTAGCTTATTTTTTGCATTTTTTTTGCAATTTTGATCCCAAAAATATTTTCTCTTGCAATTTTGGTCCTTATTCAAGATTATTGTTACATTTTTGTCCCTGTTTAAAGTATAGGTGATTTTCGCAATTTTGATCAAAGCAATATAAGTCATTTTACTTGGAGAAGGGGACAAAAACATTACAAAAAACCTCAAAGAAGGAGCAAAACTGCAAGAGAACTTTTTGGGGGTAAAATTGAAAAAATCAGCTAGACTCAAGGACCAAAAATGTAATTTACTAAAAAAAAGAATAATGCATTTTAGTTTTTATTGTTTTACATTACATACCTGGATCAATTCCATCGGTGTTGGGAGAGTCAGGTGGAGCCAATATTGTAACATATCGGATAACAACATTACTGTGTATCAACAAAAAAAAAAAAACAAAAAGATAAGGTATACGTTAGAATTTAACATGGGAGTTTGTAACTATTTTTGTAAAAAATGGGTTTAGATGTTAATAATACCTGCAGTATACAGGATGAATGTTCCAGAAAGGTGAATTCTTGAAGATGACATTAGAAATAATGATGCTTCTAGAATCCTTGAACTCAACAAGATTTGGTCTAGTGAACTGCAAGGTTCTCTGTCTCCACATGTTCCACCACACATCACCTTGACCATCTATTGTCCCATTCTCACCTGAAAATGATGATCAGTTCATCAAAACAATATGCAAATATATAAAGCAATTTCAAGAGCAAGAATTTATAAATTATACATTATTTACATACCAGTAATAATGACATCATGGAGACCATCTCCATGGATGAAGCTCATGTACCTTCCACCTGGACGTTCTCTTCCTCTTCCATAAGAAGGCAATGGAGCAATAAGAGGCCAGTTAGTTGTGTCCTGAACATAATCACAAAAGGAGGATAATAAAGTTAATTACAATCATATTATGTTTTACTATTTGCTAAATAAATAACTTTACAGATGAATTGTTTATGAATATAATAAAGTATGTCTTCAATATAGCTGTCAATATTGATTTTGCACATGCGATTGGTCCCACATTGCAAATATAGGAACCCACTAAACTTACCATCAGCCCTTCTGTTTTCCGAAATAAGTTTTGCTTATGTTGATGCTTTGTGGTCCCTAATTAATTAAACTTTTTGCTCCTTTAACGAATCATTAACTCATCATAATGGGCAAAGTATGATTCTCAAAACACAACATTCCTTCAATTACCAACAATGCAAAATAAGTACAAACTGTTTTTGGGAACTATATTTAATAGTATCGTCTCCAAATAGCAACAATGCAAAATAAATACGATTTTTTTCTGGACTTGTGGATGCACTGTGAAACTACAATTGGAAGAACATGAAGTAATTGTTTTTCGGATATGCAGAGATTGTTGTTTTCCTTTTGTTTTGTAGCAAATTAAGTCCGTTAGCACAAAACTCAATAAATAACACCATAACTTGACAAATTCAACAACTCATTTAAAAAAAAAAAGTACATTAAAATCAATGAAAAGACAGATATAGACAAATTATTGCAATGACTTCCAATTCGAAGTATTCCAGCTGCTGAAACTTGTTTTAAGGTGAAAAAAACTGTGTTTGAGTTGCAAATCTGTGTGTAGATTTTTGCAAAAAAATTAAAATGGATCTGAGTACCTGTGTAGCTTGGATAACAGCGCCTTTAGCTAGATACAGAGTCATTCGACTAGTAAGATTGAAGCTCTCTGTTAGATAAACACCAGGAGGAATGTAAAGAAGCGTCCCTCCTCTCCTCTTCAAATGCTCAATCCGGTAAATCGCCTCCCTGAACGCTTTCGTATTCAGCGTTTTACCATCTCCGACAGCACCAAAATCAGTTATTGAGATCTTATCGCTCCGGTATGCCATCGGCACAATTCCAGAACAAGTAACCAATCCAGCGGCCGAGAAGGAGCACTGCAGGAACACTAATACGGCGGCGAGACACGTAATTACATCCCAAACTCCTCCGCGCTTCATTTCTGGTCACTAGGTTGAAAAGTGCAGCTGTTTCAATGATATCTCCTCCCTGAAATTCGGTAAAGTAAATAGGTAAATCGGAAAATGGCGAAATTAATATAACGAAAATGAAAGAACTACACTCGTGGTGTGAGATTGAATCCAAACGAGAAAGAACAAAGTAAATTCGAAGACATTCATTGTGTGCGTGAGCAGATCTATGAATATTTTACAAGGATAAATCATAAATGTCTGTAACTTTGAAATTATAGAATAATATCAGCATGAGTAATTAATTCAAAACAGCGAATCTCATTTATTCTAAGGAAGCATTGATCTATACGTACGTAGATAGCGAAAGAGGCTACTTACGGAGCTGTGACGGCGAAGATACGGCGGTGATGCGGTGGCGTGGAGCTACCACGCAGGAAAATGGTTTGTCTGGGAGTACTCGTCTTTACTCCCTCCTGCTCTTGCTTTCGTGAGGAGTGATGAGGAGTGAGAAATAAGTGATGAGGAGTGAGAAATAGCTAGCTACCGACAGGAGGACGGTGTTTTGTAATGGTTTTGGCATTTTTTAACGCGTGTAAGCGCGTTACCTTGCAATATTCATTGAAAGTGAATATATCATTTTAAGTAAGTTTCTATTCATCTAAATTTATTACTAAAATTATCTTAAAGTGAAAAATAAGTTATCAACTTTATTCAATCACTACGTGTGGAATGGGGTCGTTAGACCATCAGGTATACCGGCACGTCGGTTCATGGTCTACGTGGCCACGAAGGTGGTCCACGCACATTGCCCCAGTATCTTGTGGTCGGTAGTGCTCGTGGAGCCTCGTGTTCGAGATAACGAATTCAACGAACAATGATACTGAATTTACTTCTTTTGCTTCTTTTGACTGTTGAACGGTCATTTTTTTTTCAAAAACTTATTACCTATATATAAAATCATCACACTTGTATTTATTTTATACATTTCATAAAGCTTCACTCTCATTCTAAACAAACAAAAAAACATGGAAGATTTGAAAGTGTTAAAAAATTTTGACTCGGTTGATGACGGAGAATTCATCTTAACCTTTTTTTTTGGAAAGGGAACTTCCCTAACGAAGGTTTCCGGGCCAGCTTTCGCGCACCGACTAATCCCCCGTTGCAAACATGAGTTTTTGAAGAAAAAAAAATGACCGCTCTTTTTTATCGTGAATGTGTTGTACAACATTGAAGAAGGTTTATGAAATGTATAAAGAACAAGATGTGGTAGTTTCTCAATTCCTTTGTTTTCATTCTACAATTTTGATTAATGTGATTTGTTTGTTTCTACATGGAATTAGTTGATTCCGTACTTATAAAATAGATTGAATAAACTAATTAGATTGATTACATTCAAGGCCTGTGGCCGACTACAAGTCATAGAAAAATGTAAGAAGTTACACAATTCCATTTTGAGTACAAATTTGTCTTTTCATATCTGTGTTCAGACAGCTCTTGTGAACTTCTATTCGAAATGTGGGATGTTGCAGAATGCACTTAACGTGTTCGATGAAATGACTGAGAGAGATGTCATTTCATGGAATGCTATGATTTTAGGTTTGTTTATTGTTATGAGTACCAAAAGCCTCTGCGTTTATTTTTTCAAATGCAAAACGAAAATCTAAAGGCGAATTCAATGACCATTGTTGAGCTGCTTGAGGTGTGTGGGCAGCTTTTGGATCGATGAAATTTATCCCAATCTATGATTTGTTCCAGGTTTGACTTATATTGTTGGAAAATCCCTTTAGTGGTTAGTACATTTTTTTTGGTCTAGACGAGTGCATAAGATTCATTGCAAATTTTAAATTATGAAAGGAAGTGATTGCTTTTGTTGTAGAATTATGAGGTGAAATTCTATTTTCTGATAGATAATTGATTCAGTTTATATTTATTTCCAATGATTTCTATAATTAAATTCTGAAAGATAATGTGTCTTGGATCTATCCAGGTTACTGTTTCGTGGTTATGAAGAATTAAGAATGTGTCAAATAGCATTATAGTTTTGGAATTTAAAACAACTTCATTTGTTTTCCAAAAGTATGCATAGTCATGCACTAACACTTTAAAGATCTAAATTAGTAGTCAGCATTTTGGAAAATGCCTAAGCAAGCAACCAATGATAAAACTTTCAAAGGTATCCAACTTTGAAGTAGATGTCATTTACATCAATTTCGTTTTTTTTTTTTTTTTTCAAAATATACATATTCATACATACAAATATTGAAATCTAGATTATTAGCTTCATGTTTTAAAAGGGAAATGAACTAAGAAACCAACTTTAAGACTTCAAATAAAGGGAACAAATTGATAAAGTCTTTGTTGCAAATTCTTATTCCAGACATTAATCATTGCTTTCTTTTTCCTCACAGGGATTTGCAGTCTTATCTTTCCGATCTTACCCTCTTTTTAGCCCCTGATAGTAAGACCTTTAATGTATTGGTGGGTAATCAACCTTGGGTGGAAGATCTAGCTTCAAGATCTGCACATTTATAGCAGTTGATGGTTACCAAGGTATCATGGATCATAAATTCATAATACATATATGATGCTATAATGAAAATACAATTATGTTTAAAGATTCATGATTTTCCTTCTTGATTACATCTTCATTCAAGGATGTCCCCTTTTGCAAACACAAGGGGCAGAAAGGGAAAGAAAAAGACCAAAGAGTTCATCAACCAGAAGGTGAATTCCAAACCTTCAACCCGGACCCAAAACTTGAAAAATATGGTTTTCAGTAGTTGATGCTACAACATTATCAAGAAAGAGGGCTTTATTACCTATACAGAAACTCAGAAGCTCCCTTCTTGTAAATACCAAATTACATAGAACTTTATATGGATTCATTGTCTTTCAAGTTGCATGGAAAGATGTTCATGGTATCAATTACTTAAATGAACTTCAGGTATTTCCATTTATCTCCTTATTCCTTTTTATATATAATTAGTAATCCCTCAATATCTGAATGTGGTTATCACTTATAAACAATCTGATACATCTCTTGCTATAGAGGCTAAATACATGAAAAGATGGGAGTTCGATAGCATAGATCAATCAGTTAAATGCATAAATTCATGGTTTCCAGGAACACCTAATGAACAATCAATCAAAAATCATTTTGCATGATATAACAGCTTCTATTTCATTCTAACATGATGACGGTAGCAAGAGATTGAACAAACGTCAAATACTGGATTTAAACAGCTGGAAATCAACCCTAATATACAAAACTAAGCGAGAAGATGAACCATTGTGTTTCAAGTTGTGGGGTTCCCGTGATTGTCGCTGCTATAGGATCCTTTAGTGTTGACGTTGATGTATTGGACACCATCGGGGCGAAAATAGTTGGCCATGGATTTTGATAGCCCTAATCACGCACGATCGACTAACATCAGAAGTAGTATTGTATCTTTTTAAAAAAATCTCTTAACTAGCATTGTAGTTTCTGGAAATTCACATATTTCAAATTTTTTGTTGTTTTTGGAAAATGTAATTTTGTTTTTTTTATCATTCAATTAACTGATGAAATTTAACATATTTTTTGTTTTTTTTCCGTGTTGATTCGAAGATGTTCAAGATGATGAGATATGATCTAATCAAGATATGCAATGTCATTTTGTATTTTTTTTTTCTCAAATGATACTATGATCTTAAAATGCTACATAGTGACTTATATGAGTCGGGCTAAATTTTTTTAAGGGTCCAAACCGCAGAAGTGGTTAATTATACTTGATTTTTCGGTTATAAGGTAATTATTTTATAGCATCCTACTTTAACATTTCTATAGCATCCTATACTTTTGATGAAGGCATTGCGCTTTTAGTTTTCAACCATGATCATACATTATAAATTGAGACTTGACAACATACAAAATGTAACCATGATCATACATTATAAATTGAGACTTGACAACATACAAAATGTAACCATGATCATATATTATAAATTGAGACTTGACAACATACAAAATGTAACCATGATCATACATTATAAATTGAGACTTGACAACATACAAAATGTACTTTTATGAACAGAGATAGCAATGTACTTCTGTAAAATGAAATAGCAATGGCAATTTGATAGTATAAAAATAAATAATGATGTATTGTTATAAAATAAATAGCAATGTGGTTTTTATAAAAAGAAGTAAGAGTGTAATATGTTTTTGAGATTGTATGATCGATACATTTTCCCAAATTCATATTAAAAGTCAATTAAAAAATATTAAATATGGCTCATCACTTTCAAATCCAAAATACTTGATTGAGTGGTCCAAAATAGATGTGTTTATTCGACTTTAATGGAAGTCATGGCCACTTTCGAAGAATAATTAATATGAAAATCTTGAAATCATGTTTACATGGTTTAATTTGTAATCGGTATTGGTAGAAGTCATTGGTATTTAAAAAACAACACAAGAAAAAATAAATTTTTTCATTTGTTTCCACTATTTAAAAAATATATATTAGTTGTTAATATGTTATATTGACAAGTATTGCTGACGTGAGGTGAATGTTATGATTATGTACCAACTTTGATCATATTAACTTGACAATAGCATCAGTAAATTCCATGCGTATTCAGCGCTATTTTAGTCTTTTTTTTTACAAATAGTGAAACTTTTATCTGAAACTATGTATTTGTTTATGTAGGTAACATTTTGTTTATTTCCAAACAACATCCAACTGCTCATGCTTATGACACATACCCTCTTAAACTTTCATGAATTGTTCATCCATTTACAATTTTTTTTCTTATCATATATGGGGTAGTAACATACTTTTTTACTGTAGACAGGAATTTCGTTTAGATGCTAAATGTAGTAAATAGCAACGTACTTTGATTTTACATGTTTTTTTTTTCTATTTTTCTATTTTTGCTTTTGGTTAGATTCTGGCTAATTCATTGGAAGAATTAGAGCTTGTATATGTAAATTGTTGTAAAGTTTGTTGTTATTTAATGCTTTTTAATAAAAGACTATGAAATAT